CTTTGGCAATTGGCAGAGAGACACTGGCAGACATTTATTAGCTTCTACGGGATAAGAAGCTCCTCTTAACTTGGGGTTCAGACCAGTCTACCGAGGCCCATCCCCCACGACGTTCGGTTGCAGCCAAAGCCAGCTCCAAGCTCTTCCAGCAGTTTCGCCCAGTTGTTTTAGTGACCGTTTAAGCTCGTTGCCTCTCAAGAACAGCTGCTTTAGCACATTGTATGTGGAAGTGGAGATAAGACCACTTGCGCCTACCTCGACGACGAAGATTTTCACTGCGTTCGCTTCGTCTCTCCTCAGTCCGGCCACGAGCTGCCCGTACTTTTTGAGCTTGGACTAGTGATTTTCCTCCATCCGCGACTCGTACGACACGGTCAGCTCTATCAGGACGAGCTGGCGTTTTCCCGCAGATTGAAGAGCTATGTCGGGCCTTAGGCCGGTCTTCCGGATAGACTCTGGATACCTCTCGAAACCAGGCAGTAACCATTCCCTTGCACAGTCAAGTATTAATGCGAACTTGTTGATTTTAGCTTTATAAATCTGCCCAGCCTTGAGGAAGCGCATGGGGGTGAGGGCAAGACTGGCTCTCGCGTTGGCTCTCATCCTGGCATGGGTCCAAAATATCTGCCAGCTATTTCAGGACTTTATTGTGACGCCCAGTATATCGTCCCTGGCTAGGGCTTTTCTGCTCCCGGACAATATGTGCTCGAGCGTCTGCTTAGCTCTGCACATTGGGCAAGTCGGGTCGGTAGTCGTATGCCATTTCACCATGTTGATGCCAGACGGTAACATGCTTAGCCGCAACAGGTCCAAAATATCTGCCAGCAATTTCAGGACTTTATTGTGACGCCCAGTATATCGTCCCTGGCTAGGGCTTTTCTGCTCCCGGACAATATGTGCTCGAGCGTCTGCTTAGCTCTGCACATTGGGCAAGTCGGGTCGGTAGTCGTATGCCATTTCACCATGTTGATGCCAGACGGTAACATGCTTAGCCGCAACGGGTCCAAAATATCTGCCAGCTATTTCAGGACTTTATTGTGACGCCCAGTATATCGTCCCTGGCTAGGGCTTTTCTGCTCCCGGACAATATGTGCTCGAGCGTCTGCTTAGCTCTGCACAGTGGGCAAGTCGGGTCGGTAGTCGTATGCCATTTCACTATGTTGATGCCAGACGGTAACATGATTAGCCGCAACGGGGCCATTCGCCATATCTCACCCCATGTGAGTATTCGTGGCAAGCCGCTATCAATGCCGGTCCACAGGCCTTGCTGATACTGCTGCAAGGCTTTTTGAACCCAAATCCCTTATCTGCTGTATTACCATGTTTCTGCCCTCTTTGACCGTGGCTTTGGATTACCAACTGACTTTCCCATGCCCTAGGCTGCCTCGGTCTGTTTGTGAGCTACCCATGACTTCTTTCAATTTCAGTGCTTCTTGAGCAGATTCTAAAACATTCTTACCTGTCTTTAGACGGACTGGACAACTGCCACCATGGGGTCTCAAACTCGCGCAGCATCGTCGCGAGTCTTACCTTGCCGACTTTAAACTCTTCGGTTATTGACTTGAACAGAAGTACCAGCTTAGCCTGCTGACGATACAGAGCCACCTCGGTCAGAAACAGCGGTGCCCCAAGCCATTTCACCATGGCTGTGTTGATTGTTTTCTATATCGTTTCTACTGCAGTCATGCTCACCTCGTACACAAGCAGCGACTAGAGGAAGAAGCTTTGGAATCAGCATGAACTGGAGACACCAGAACCTGAACTTCCCGATCAGCCTGCATCTATAATGTTGTTAATACACTTTCTCAATGTTGCTTCTCTACTTTCGCTATCTTCAATATCCACTTTTTCAGTTTTACTTGTGTGCTTTTACAATTTAGGCTTCACCTCTATGACCTAACTCCAAACAATACTCGACTGACTCCGGTGGAAGGACTGTTTGGTGCCCTTGACAGAACCAAGTCACAGTCTGACGGCTCAGGTATGTGATTCCTGTCTGTAGAAGGTTACTCAGGTAGTTGTCATTGTATGTATAGGGTATCCGACATAAAAAAAAAAAAAAGATATAAAAAAGATGACTAAAATATGCAATTCATAAACAACTGAAAAACAAGCAAAACAATTTATCCACATCGGATATGTAGTTTTATAGAGGAATCCTTGGAATTCATTGGACAGACAAATACGAACAACCCAGATGTTTTGAAAAAAGCGAGGGCTGGTAGACAACTTAACACAAACATCAGATAGAAGTAGTCATGATTTTCCTTGGGGCCATGTTATGATAAGACTTGAATGGGAACATGTGACCACTGGAAAGATCTGTGGAAAGTGAGGCAGAGGAATACAACGTTAGAAGATTCTTGACAGCTCTTAGTCAAGGCACGAAGAAGTGTTAATATATGAACTGATGCAGGCAGTTGCAGATAGCAGATTATGGAAAGGCATGATCCCCCACGCCAGTCTACAAGGCGGCTAATACTTAATGTGGGTACATTTG